TAACCTCCGAACTACCCTTTGCATTAGTTAAGCTAATTCAGATTAAGATAGGTGCTTTAATCAACCCACATTGAACACATTTACATTAAACGTTTTCATTCTACAAGAATTCCGGACCTTCGTCCTCTCGCCCGGGTAGCCAGGGTTCCTGCGTCCAAGGCGACGACTTACCACTGGAAGGAGGCCAACGTGGCCAATCTGCACACCCAGTGAGTATTGTCTACAAAAATGTCCCTTTACCTCTGCTGCATGAAAGCTCGCAGCAGTTTCACCAAGTCTCCCATCCCTGAAGTGAAATCCTCTCATGAACATCTTTCCGTCGGTAAAGAGGAGGGGAACCTTTGGGGGTTATTTTCCTTCCATGCAATGTCTGCTTATCTAAGTTTTGCGATAAAATTGTAACCCTATTTCCCAGGTTGATCAGCTATTTTAAACATGTTCCCCGTCGATAATGTTATGTTTTCCTGTCATCCTAGGAGGCCAAAATGCTGTGAGAAAGTCTTGGGTTTTCCCACCCACGGCTCTCGTACATGTCTCGTCACTGCTTATCTGGCCACCAAGGTTTGAAGTTTAAGCTTGATCGTACTCTGTAATGTGAGGGTGTTTCGAAAGGTCTACAGCTTGCCCCGGATGTCGGTTTTACTGTGTACACACTTCCACGCAAGTCAGCGCGCCTGCCCCTCGCCTACGGCGTTCGGTCTCTGGAAATGCTTTTTAATTCATCGACATCAACACGAATCCTGGGCGAGATCGGAGTACACCCATGTACTAGAATACCTTTAGAAGAGTACGAGTCACAGCTTTCTCAGAACCTGACACGCACAGACTAAGTGCCCATAAGTGTACCAGATTTAGAATGCTAATCTTCTAGATTTTACAAACTATCCATCGTGCAAGCAGATTCGCTGCGGTTAGTGAAACATGATACGAACGCGTGCGCTGATAATTTTGCAGTCCGTTCTCCGGCTGTCATCTTGGCACTCGTGGTTTTCAGAGTCTTGAACTGCGGGCCAGCATAAGCTGCGTGAAACGTCGGTCTAAGAGATAGGGCATATGACCCGACCCCTCCGAGCTTACGGTAACACTTCTTGCTTCCATGATTGGCATAAGGCTTGAATTCACGACTCGATATGGTTTTTCATCCTGTGTAAAGTATTAGGTTGAAGGGAATCTTAGGGGAT